AAGGAAACTAGGGCATATAAGAGAAACCCCAGGGCGATCGTTGATTAGAGAGGCCAAAGCTGCGAGGCTGGATTCCATCCATGATATCAAAGTGATTGCAGAGGATACAACGAAAGTGGTGAATAGACTGCGAGTACTATGTGGCATATAATGGAACGACAGGATAGTTCATGAATGAATGCACTCCACCATGAGCTCTGAGAGGATACAACGAAAGTGGGGAGTAGACTGCGAGTACTATAAGCATTATTTTGGAACGACAGGATAGTTCATGGATGAATGCACTCCACCAAGAGCTCTGAGAGGATACAACGAAAGTGGGGAATAGACTGCGAGTACTATGTGGCATATAATGGAACGACAGGATAGTTCATGAATGAATGCACTCCACCAAGAGCTCTGAGAGGATACAACGAAAGTGGGGAATAGACTGCGAGTACTATGTGGCATATAATGGAACGACAGGATAGTTCATGAATGAATGCACTCCACCAAGAGCTCTGAGAGGATACAACGAAAGTGGGGAATAGACTGCGAGTACTATGTGGCATATAATGGAACGACAGGATAGTTCATGAATGAATGCACTCCACCATGAGCTCTGAGAGGATACAACGAAAGTGGGGAGTAGACTGCGAGTACTATGTGGCATATATTGGAACGACAGGATAGTTCATGGATGAATGCACTCCACCAAGAGCTCTGAGAGGATACAACGAAAGTGGGGAATAGACTGCGAGTACTATGTGGCATATAATGGAACGACAGGATAGTTCATGAATGAATGCACTCCACCAAGAGCTCTGAGAGGATACAACGAAAGTGGGGAATAGACTGCGAGTACTATGTGGCATATAATGGAACGACAGGATAGTTCATGAATGAATGCACTCCACCAAGAGCTCTGAGAGGATACAACGAAAGTGGGGAATAGACTGCGAGTACTATGTGGCATATAATGGAACGACAGGATAGTTCATGAATGAATGCACTCCACCAAGAGCTCTGAGAGGATACAACGAAAGTGGGGAATAGACTGCGAGTACTATGTGGCATATAATGGAACGACAGGATAGTTCATCAATGAATGCACTCCACCAAGAGCTCTGAGAGGATACAACGAAAGTGGGGAATAGACTGCGAGTACTATGTGGCATATAATGGAACGACAGGATAGTTCATCAATGAATGCACTCCACCAAGAGCTCTGAAAAGGACTCCTGCGGTGTTAATGTGATCAATGGAGTCAGACCCAAATACTGTCCCAGCTGGCGATGAAGTCGTCAACCAGTGACAAAGTCGTCAACTGGCGAGCCAATAGACGAAACGAGGCCGTTTGGCCAGCCCTTCGCCCTATTTTTAATCCTTGAATCCGACAACATGGCGAGTACCAAACAAACCAGTCAGACCTAGGATGACGGCTGTACAAACAAACCAGTCAGACGTAGGATGACGGCTGTACAAACAAACCAGTCAGACCTAATTAGGATGACGGCTGTACAAACAAACCAGTCAGACCTAATTAGGATGACGGCTGTACAAACAAACCAGTCAGACCTAGGATGACGGCTGTACAAACAAACCAGTCAGACCTAGGATGACGGCTGTACAAACAAACCAGTCAGACCTAGGATGACGGCTGTACAAACAAAATGCACAATAACTTGCTCGACAGACATGGCAGGCTATAACCACCACCACTCAGAAACAGACAATGAAAAACAAATTTCAACTGATTTGATTTAAGAACCGACATCACAGCACTCGGGGCATTCCCATAAGCGCTCAGTCCCCATCTTCAGCATCCAGCTAAGAGTTCCGATACTAATGGTGCCAGTAGCATTCTGATTAAACGTCTGTCTTGCCTTTCCTCTGAGCCTCGAGCATCTACCAGAACCTCTCGTCACTTCCCCCTGCATCAATCTCATCTCACCAGACTGTGTATATCAATCTGATCATCCGAACTGTACACGCTCTCCCACAAGACACTAACCACGTCTGCCTTATCATGTATCAGTATTCCACCAAGTTGTGCAGAGCCAGCCAGTCTGTCAGCCTGTTCATTTCCAAACACACCGGCGTACCCTGGTGAAAAAATCCATACAATACTCCTCACCCGTGTCCCCCACAGCGAAGCATGCCACTCCGTACGAAGCATACCTGTTCTGATCTTCCTAAGAATGCTTTCTGAATCAGTTACAATCACGATGTGTTTATGTATCGTGTTCTCTAGCCAGCAGAAAGTGGCAGTGACCGCCCCCACCTCCATTCTTAAGCTGGATGTTGTGGTATCATATGCTAGGCTCTCCTGCACCAAACGTCGACCATTAACTGTTGCTAATAAACCCAAGCACTTGTGTTGCCTCTTGACACTGAGCCGTCTGTGTAAATGATCAAATCCTCTGAGCGAGCATTATCTTGAATTAATTGCTGAATTTCCACCTCCGTGGCACCTGCTGGCCAGTTTCTGCATTCCCGGCTCAGCGTGATTATGACTCTACACAAGCCTGACTGTTAAGGTGGCACTTTGACCCACTCCTCTCCTCGCCTAATGTTCTCAAGGATGCAAACCTGTTTAATTGTGTTTTCTGCCTGAGCCATCCGTGACCTCTCTCTTATCAGCCGCTGACCCTTAACTGCACCCATAGCTTCATGCAAAGGGCGGTCTGTGTCTGCAGCTACCCTGAGATATGACTTCGCCTGCAGCACCTTCTGCCTACCTGCAACCGTCGGCAAACCCAGGATGTATCGCATAAACTCCACTGGGGTGTCTCTGGTGCAACCCAGAATGACCCTCATAGCCGAAAATTATAACTGATGCTATCTTTGCGAGGCTAGCTCCCTAGGTAGCAGTTGAACTTGGCAAATTTAAATTGATGCTGATGATGAAGTTTCGTTCGTTTGTTCTTTCGTTCGTTCTCGCAGCACTTACTACCCGTGGAATGTAAGCCAAATTCATGAAATAATCCAGTGCAGTATTTACGATATTGGTTCGACCTCAGCTGTCGAAATCTAAATAAAACCCAGGCCACTAATCGATTGACGCCAAATAAGTTTCTATAGATAAAGTGAAAAACCGTGTTGTTGATATACAACTCCCTGAAACTTCAGCCGAGTACATGGAGGAGGAGTATAAGACGTTGACATTCTAGCCATTGAGTCTGCTAATAACGAGGAAGTTCGCTTACTACAGACAAGAACACGATGCAGACTTTCAACAGTTGTGTTCTTTTTCCTGCGTGTCTCTCGTTCTAAGTCCCACTTCCGTCTTGTTCCCACATGCACAATTTATACACAATCACACTCACGCACGCACACAAAACATGGTTGAGTCAGTAGTAATAAATTTATAAGCATTAATGAGCACTTTTATAATTAGTGACAAATTTGTGTGGTAACTAAACATTTGAAGTTTGGCCAGCATTAAAGCTACCAAACGGCCTTTACTTTCCAAGAAAGATATACTTTCTAATAACATCCCCCTAAACGGCTCGGTTCGCTGGCGCAATTAGTTAAAATCATGTGCGCGGTTACGTGGTAACGAACTCCTTGTGGTCTGGGTTCACGCCCGGGGGTAGGCAGAAAAGCCACATTTCTCCCAGATTTACGGTATCTATCATGACATCAAGGCCAAAGTGTTGCGATATCCATAGTACCGAGCCTAAGAGTTAAGAACTCATATTTTCTTGATACTTTAAAAAAAAAAGAATATGTAAAATTTAAGTAAAGGAACCTCGTCCAAGCCTTTAGGCATGTTGGGCACATACACCAATAATTTATAGACCAATCAGCATTCTGTGGATAACGCGGTCAGCATCACACCAACCGCCTTTACTTCCCAAGACCTTACCTGGTACCCATTTAAGGTTGGGTCGACTTTTTTATGTGTAAATTAAGGCTCCGTCGGGATTTCAACCCACGACCTCTGGATAGGTCGGCGAGCGTCTACGTCCTACACCAAGATGGTTTCCCGTGTATTCAGTGCTAGATCTATACTTTATAGACCAATCATCACTAGATGGGCCATGTGGTCAGCGTCATGGCGACGTGACTTTTACTTCCCAGGTCTTTACCTGTTACCCATTTTAGGCAAGGTCGACCAGGGATTCAAGGTTACTTTTGGAAAACATAAAATCTGTCTAGCTCTGAATCAACGACCTTTGGACTCGCGGGTAAAAGTCTATCCGCTCCGCTAGATTACTCTGGTCTGCACACAATTTATGTGAGCAATGTTATACAAATGTTTGCCCTAACGCACTCTTGCACCGATTACATAGAACATGCACACATATACGCGATATCTTTTCTTTCACCCTCCCTCCCGCCTTTTTTCTTTCTTTCATGGTTGTATAAGTGTGTGTTTGTGTGTCGTCTGTGTGTGTGTGTGTGTGTGTGTTGTATGCATGCAGAGTGTAAATTGTGAGTGTGTAAGTTTGTATGTGTAAGTATGAGAGTCTGTGTATATATGTGTGTTTGCATATTGGATGATATGTCTTCCATGCCTTGGTATTTTTGACCCCGCACTTAGGTGTTTTGTTATATGTGAATAACATGACGAAAATAGAGTTGATGTGTGAAAGATGAACATCTGCAATGGTTTAAAGTAAGGCAGGCCTGTGGACTCGATTGGTGACCCTTGAAAAAATACAGTTTTATTCGTTCGTCATCTCTCTCTCTCTCTCTCTCTCTCTCTCTCTCTCTCTCTCTTTCTCTCTCTCTCTCTTCTCGCTCTCTCTCTCTCTCTCTCTCTCTCTCTCTCTCTCTCTCTCTCTCTCTCTCTCTCTGAAAAATGAGTGATAAGATGGGCCGAATGTCAGACGGGCCCGCGAGCCCAATTTGTAACCCTTTGAAAATAAAGTTTGTTCGTTCGTTCGTTCGTTCGTTCGCTCTCTCTCTCTCTCTCTCTCTCTCTCTCTCTCTCTCTCTCTCTCTCTCTCTCTCTCTCTCTCTCTCAGTGTGTGTGTGTGTGTGTTGTGTGTAATTGAACATACTGTACTCACCATCAAAAGAAACATTGAGCAGATACTCCCGCAGTAGTTTCTCGCCATCAATCTTCTCCATCCGCTTGCAGACTCCGATGATCCCTGGACACAAGTCTCGATGCATTTTGTCTAGCGCATGAGCGAACGCGTAAACTGCATCGTAAATAAACTGCACTTTGCTCTCTTGTGATGTAATCTTACGGTTGAGCCGTTCGTCTCCCTTGCACGCCTTCATTGTGGTTTTGGTCGCCGCCTCAGCAGATTTGGGAACAACCCCATTCCACGCACATTTATGCTCTTCCTCCCAGTATTCAATGAACCATGGATTCCGCTTGTTAGTTCGTGGATTTAAATTTAAGAAATACTGCTCAAACTTGAGTATTGGTGAGGATTTAAGTTCTAAAGTTATTGCTCCCTGGGCGACTAAAGGATTGTTTTTCACCGGCGCTAAGCGATATCCCCAGGCGTCACTGGCAACCCAGACGAATTTGCCAGTTAAGTTTTTCCGGGAAGCGGCGTTAAGCAGACCTGTAGCGTCCTCAATACGAACAAACACAATGACAACGGTGGCTTCCGGTTTGTCCAGAAGCTCCTTGATGACTTGGTCATAGACGGAATTTGTGGCTATCAAACTTATTTCTATATCCGCAGCAATGCAAATATTTTTTGATTTGGCTTCTTGTTTGAAGAAATCTGTCCCCGATTCTCCATACTCCCCCTCGGAGTGGACAATAGAAACGTATGTCCAGTTGAACTCTAGAACAATATCTACCAAAGCTTTCGCCTGAAGGGTGTCAGGAGGCACTGTCCGAACAAAGTAGTCGTATCGTGTTTTGTCACTCAGAGCTGCCGATGTAGATGCGTAGCTGATTTGTGGTATCTTGAACAGGCGAAGTAAATTCGCCACTTGAATCGAAACCGTGCTGTATGAGCCTCCAACAACGCCTGCAACAGCGGTTGGTACCTGTTTCGCAGATGCTTTAGAACCATCGCTGCAGTAAAATTCCGTGGGATCTAGAGATGTTATTGATGCTCTGATAAACTCTAAAGACTGCTCCAAAGCGTACGGGGCCCGTCCACAAGTGTCAAAGGCCGAAGCACCCAGTTTAATCCCTGGTAGAATACTAGAATTATTGTTTATTTCATCAATAGTAAACAACATGGCCTCCAGTCGCTCTATACCTCGATCTGCGTTGATACTTCCGCATGCTTTCTCTCCCTTGTCGTGAACCGGAAATAAACCACCAATTATGATATCCCCGATGATGGTGGCCGCCACAGAAGGAGCTGTCACGTTGGCCACGGGCTCCGGAAGTGGCTGGAAGACATAATCAGCGATGGCGGAGGCCAGTCTAATGGCGACCAACAACTGCCACAAGGCTGGTCTGTGTCCTCGAGCACGTGACGTCATAATAAACATCACACCTCAGGTCACATGAACAAAAGCAACAGTTGCTAATTTTCTATTAGATCTCATTTTCTTTTATAAACAAAGTTTTTGAGGTTATCATATTTCAAGACAGAGTATGTACTAAAAAAATAATACTATATCTCGTTGTATTAATCCATTGTATTTAATTTGAGAAGTCCAAGCATTGCTAAGAATCCCTTATAGAAGCTCTGCATTGATTTATATATATCACAATTATCGGACACATGCTGCAAACCATTTATTATTTTTATGTGGGGGGGGGGAGGGGGGGGGGGGAGGGGGGAGTTCAGCAACCCATAACATGTGTTGTGAACATCATAGATGTCATTTTTATTTATGTTGATATTTCCTAGTACAGTGCACACCTGATAATGAGAACTCCCCAGGGACGCAAGAAATTGTCTTTTCAGAAATTTGAAATATATTTGAAATAATATGAGTTAAAAATACTCAAAGACATTACTTCGACCACAGAGTTGGGGTGGTGGGCCAAGCAATCCTTACAAGCATGTCGTAAGAGCTGACTAAATTATGTTGTTTCCTTAAAAGTCGGCTTGCATCTATCTGAGAGGAGAGGAACCGAAAGTCTGCATGCAAATATGTCAGATCTGTTAAACGAATGCGCACAAAAAAACTCAAATTTTGAATAACAGCAAAGTCCAGACGTAGACGAACCAATATAATTTTCCGACTGAGAACGCACATAAAAAGCGAAGAGTGTTATATCTTTTAGTATGCTGACAACACTGAAAGATAAAGCACTCTTATATAAAACAACTAATGGACATTTGAAAGGCAAAAGAGCAAGGGGTGGCCAACCATACAAGTGGGAAAAGAACATCAACGGATGGACTAAAAGCAGAGAGAATGTGCAAGCAGGTATCAAACCAAAATCTACAAAACCATACAGCAGGAATGTTCAGCAAAGTTAAGTCAGGGACCAAAATATTGAAAACAGGGATAGTCACAGACCAGACGCTTGAGATGATTAACCCGTTTAAAGATGATTAACACAAAACAACTGATAATGATTCACGGGCCACTTGCTAGGCCTTCGCGGGCCAGATTTGTGTAGGAATGACCAATCATTTTGAAGACTGAAGTGGGGAAGATTATTAAAATATGAAGGATGGAAAAGTCTCAGGTCCTGACTAAACAAAAACGGAAATGATAAAATCATTGTCAAACTGATATATATGATATACAAATAAAAACACTGGTTTCGTCTCAAAGGATTTGAAAACATTTATGTTCGTCACAGAACCCTAGAAGTCAAAAGCTGTTGAAAGTAAAGATACCGAACGCCTAGTTTAATGAGCCATACAGCTAAGATACTTTTCAAGATCACACAAGACAAACATCTAACAAAAATAAATATCGAAGTTACTGAAGAAAAGTTTGGCTTCGGAAAAGTGGTGACACTAGGGATGCCACAATTCGTTTAAGGATACTGACTGACACACATACAGAAGTTCGAAAATATTTTTCTGAATGTTTCATAGACTACACGAAGGCCTTTGACGGGTGTAACAAGTTAAGCTTATTACATGCCTCCAAAATATATGATTGAATAGAAAAGATGTCTTTGATGGTGTAACATGCAAAGCTTATTACATGCCTCCAAAATATATGATTGAATGGAAAAGATGTCTATCAGAATTATTAGTAACTTTTACTGGGAACAACAAGCAACAGTTAGGTACAGCATCGACTCATCACAGAGAGAGACAACAAGAGAAGTGTATCGTGATATATGTTATTCTCAAGCCGTTTCCGCTTATTTACAAAAAAACATTTGTGAAAAAGCTGAATAACTGCGTGGATTAAATATCAAGAGAAGAATAATGACAATCTGATCTATTCTGATGACACAATGTTACTAGTAGCAAGAGAGCAGCAGTTACAGAAACTAGTGAATCAAGTCGACAGGCGGAGTGCCGAGTATGGCTTAGACCATAACATTCTAAAAACAATAACTATGATAATCAGCAACTGTGAAGAGCGACCAACATGGAATATCACACTAAACTCAGAGAGATCAAAACAAGTGAGAAATTTTAGTATATTAGGAAGCGGGGGGGAGGGGTGTTAAGGTGCGGGGCGGGGGGAGGGTTGTTAAGGTGCGGGGCGGGGGGAGGGGTGTTAAGGTGAGGGGCGGGGGAGGGGTGTTAAGGTGCCGGGCGGGGGAGGGGTGTTAAGGTGCGGGGCGGGGGGAGGGGTGTTGAGGTGCGGGGCGGGGGGAGGGGTGTTAAGGTGCGGGGCGGGGGTGTCTTTGAGACTGAGGGTTTAGGGTAAATTTGTAAATTTCTCTAGTGAGGAGTAATTTATTTATCTTGGGTAAATAACATATGCTTGACTCTAATTTGGATAAGAGGAATTTAGGCTAATAGGAACTATTTCTTCGGTCCCCAGTGAGTTCTCCGTTTCAGATCTGCACTATACTTGGAAATATCATGAAAAATAAAAGCGGCACTTGCGATGATCACCATATATCTTGTGGAGTGCTGATTCTGTTGTTGTTGTTTTTTTCGAAATAATAATAACAATAATAATAATTAGTAGTAGTATTAGTAGAAGTAGTAGTAGTAGTAGTAGTAGTAGTAGTAGTAGTAGTAGTAGTAGTAGTAGTAGTAGTAGTAGTAGTAGTAGTAGTAGTAGTAGCAGCAGCAGTAGTAATAGCAGTAGTAGTAGCAGCAGCAGTAGTAGCAGCAGCAGCATTAGTTGTAGTAGTAATAGCAGTAGAAGTAGCAGCAGCAGTAGTAGTAGTATCAGCAGCAGCAGTAGCAGAAGCAGTAGTAGTAACAGTAGTTGTAGCAGCAGCAGCAACAGCAGTAGCAGCAGTAGTAGTAGTAGTAGTAGCAGCAGCAGCAGCAATAGTAGTAGCAGCAGCAGCATTAGTGTAGTAGTAGCAGCAGCAGTAGTACTAGTAGTAGTAGTATTAGTAGTAGTATTAGTAGTAGTAGTAGTAGTAGTAGTAGTAGTAGTAGTAGTAGTAGTAGTAGTAGTAGTAGTAGTAGTAGTAGTAGCAGCAGCAGCAGCATTAGTGTAGTAGTAGCAGCAGCAGTAGTACTAGTAGTAGTAGTATTAGTAGTAGTATTAGTAGTAGTAGTAGTAGTAGTAGTAGTAGTAGTAGTAGTAGTAGTAGTAGTAGTAGTAGCAGCAGCAGTAGCAGCAGCAGCAGTAGTAGTAGTAACAACAGATGATGGCAGATGGGCAACATAAATTTAAAAAAAATAGATTAGGACTGGCTAAAACTATGTTCAAAAAAGATGTAAAAATGATTGATAGCTAGAAAAGTAAACAACACATCGACAGTGAGAATCTTAAATGTTTATGCATACCCAGCACTGCTGTATGGTGCAGAAACCTGGACAATGAACAGAAACTAGAAAATCGAAACTGAGTTTTCTGAAAATGTGGATATACAGAAGAATCGGCTGTATTTCATGGAAACAAGACCAACTAAAAATAAGGCTATGAGGCAACTGAGAATTTGAAGAAAAAAAAAATCACTGTGGAAATAAAAAGAAAAACAAAATGAGACAATTAAAACATTCGGACTACATTAACAAACATACCCCACTGGAGGAAAATGTCAAAGCAAGAGAGCAAGAGGCAGACAACGATACAAGTGCGAGGATAACATCAACACATGGATGAACAGCAGTTAAGAGAGTGTACTAGTAGTATTACTACTAAGACAAGAGACAGCTTGTTGAAGATTCATTGCGGTCAACCTTTTTTGTGGAGAAGACACCTGGTTGATTAGGGGATTAATTTGATAGCGGGTTGATGCTACAGTTTAACGGTAAATTAACATGGTAACGTAATAGAGCATATCAAAGGAAAATAATGCTTCGTTTCCTAGATGGGGAAAACCCCTAATGGGCACACACCTTGTTGTTTAGCACTGTTTAAATTAGGGAATTATTACTTTCCCACGAAAAAAACATTACATTTAACGCTTTTAAACAAAATAATTATCACAAAAACAATATGTTAATTTCTAGTATTATTATTATTACAATAACGTAACACAATATATTTAAGGAAAATAATGCACCATTTTTTAGGGGGAAAAAAAAGGGGGGTCCAATGGATACACACGTCGTTGTTTGGTACTCTTAAGTTTTAGAAATCATTACTTTCCGAAGAAAGAAACATTAAATATAATGCTTTTCAACGAAATAATTATATATATCAACATGTTAATTTCGGCTTACTTGTCCTTTATGATCACCATATTCACCAAACGTAAAATACGTAATTTTTTCCCTCATTCTTCTGTGAAATTACACCACACATCATCTGTAAAACACGTTACCTTCTGTATCTTTCTGTGAAAATATGAACAGATATTCACGTATAGCGCTCGAATCCCGGATCTCTGTCTTGCCAAGCAGAACCTAAAACCTTGACGAAAGAAACATCTGATTCTGCTCCGAAAGCGGGAGGTACACGGGCGTGTCGTCCCCGGCTGTCAGTGGTGAACTACTGGCATCAAATATTGATGCAGTCCCTGGCTCCCATGAGATGTTTCAGTTCTGCTCCGTCTTCTTCGTGGTGCTGTCTGAGAAATTTCTGACCGGTCTGAAAATCTGTGCAGGGAAAAAAAAGAATGGTGTTGTGTTAGTGTGATGTATCACTGACATAATCAAGCAGGGGCCGTTTTAGGCCGTAGAAACAGTATACAATAAACAAATAGACACGTCATGATTGGTACTCACAGAAAGAAGTATAGTGATAGAAGAATACATTCGATTAGTGTTTTTCAAGCATTTTACATCCGTGGACCGGCAAACTATAAGTATTTTTATTCGTGGAACTGATGTGAAGTAGGACAGGAAGTCTGATAGACTGGCTGCTGCCGCTCCTCTGAGTGATGAGTTGCTTCCCCAGACGCGGCGAAGATTCTCTGGGATTAAATGGATAATGCGACAGAACAGACGAGAATCCATACGATGAAAGACTAATTCAAC